GTGTGGGAACCCAACATGGATAGAGATGAATATTCCTACAAAAAGGCAAATGTGAATGAGTGAGTCAGACCAATCATCCATCTAATCCAAAGCCAATAATCACAACTAGTATTGGTTAACTGATATCTCAAATTTACACTCCCCCGGCTCTACCATCTCAATTATCTGGTATCTTTTAACTGGCATTCCTCAGCATTATGTCATGTTTGCTTAAATGCAAAATGTATAATCTACCACTAAGTTATGATCTGTTCCTCTTGAATAGCTCCCTTAATAATTTTTATATACTTGATAGCGTGATCTTTTTGCAACTGAACCTTTATAAACATAATTTCAAAAGCTACTATTTATATATTTGCACTGAGACATCAGGTGTATTATTTTCTTATTTATATTCATAAGGTATCATACAAAATGAATAAAGCGGTTAAAATAGAAATGCAAGAAATAGCCACAAAATCATAAAAGCCTTCATAATAGACAATAGAATTAAAATCTGCGCAAAGCGGTAGCTTCAGCTATAACATACTACAGTGACTTAACCAGGAAGTAGCCTAATCAACTTAAGCTAGGCCTGTGTAAGACTGGAATCCTTGAAACTAGGCCTGCAACTACCATTGTCGGCAGCCTGTGCAGAAGAATACTTAGCTGATGATAGTTAAGGCCTTTTTCTTTTAGTATAGGTGATCCCATCAGTTTCTTCCTATACAGCAGAGTTTCTTTGGCAACTTTAAGATGTCTGGACTTCAACTCCCAGAATTCTCCAACCGGCATGCTGGCTAGGGAATTCTAGCAGTTGAAGTCCAGACATCTTAAAGTTGCTAAGGTTGAGAAACACTGCTATACAGTGTAAAAAGCAGCCAGAGTGAGAACTGAATACATGTGCAGTCAGTTACAGTTCTGTCTATCCAAGACATGTAACAACACAAAGCAAAACATGTTCTGGAGGCTTCTGCAGATTAACTTGATTCAGTTGCAGCATCTCAAGTCAAGCAGAAGTAGGAATGACTCCTCAAATTGCTTATGCAAATATGTTACATCAGATCTCTGAAAGTGCCTTAATTGTGCCAGATGAGTGAGATTCCTATAAACCCTGCCTGAGAAATCTCTGCTAGACAACACTGTGAGGACACAGTAGTGTTAGGAAACTGTTTACTTGTTGATAGCACAGGTACTGAGAACGTAGTCTTGAGCTTTCATTAGAGCTGGTTTGGATTCACTGCAGTTTTTCCACTACTTGCTGTTGTCATCTTCCTGGTGTTGTTATCTTCCTATTCCATTCATTAACCTGCTCCTCAAAATGCCAAGAAGCTCACTCAACTCCTTAACAGAAGAGGACACATGGGAGCAATTATTTCAGTTGCCCTGATCATTTCTAAGTTACACATGAAGTAAAAACAAATCATTGACAAAAAAAGAGCTTATAGTAAGAAATGTCTTAAGAGATCTTTGGAAATCTGTAGATTCTATAAGTCCCTTAGGGAGTACTATCCAAATTGGTTTCCTCATCCTTGCAGAGGGGAATAGCTATGTGAGTATAAAGTTCAACAGGAAATTGCCGAAGTGACTTAAAGGATTTGCATTTATTGAGTTGGGGTATTCTGTTTAGTTTCCTTTTTGAATTCATGTAATTATTAACTAGGGGGACGCGGTGGCGCAGCGGCTTAATGACGCTGAAAGTTGCCGG